CCTCTACCTGCCGAGTGCCCTTCTGAGCCCGCTGTCAGATGGCAGGTATGAAAGAATGTATCCAAAACAGTGTGATAGCAAGTGTGGCAAAAATCTTTGTGGGAAAGAAGCGAGCTTGTTTGTTCTTCTCTCAACTGTTAGTGATAATGACTCATGCGTTGCTTATAGCTTCCAAAATACGATAGAAGTAGATCAAAAAGCAACTGGGAACTCTGCTTTCTTTATGAACAGATGAGGAAAGGCTTAAAGAAAAAAAGAGGAGGCAACACATCTTAGGATTTGAATCAGACAACTGCAACAGCAAGTTTGACCAAAGGTGAATGAAGAATCATGTTAGGGGGTGATCATGACTTTTAGTTGACTCTGATGTTGTTTTTGGCTGATGCCAAAGGAAAGATTTGGAAAAAGGAACATGACTGATTTGATGCCTGCTTAGTGTTTACATATTCTGTTCAAGCTTTACCGTGCCCATGTCCTCTGTGGTTTCCTTCAGGGAGAGCATTGTGTAAGCTCATCTTTTCTGCTATCCCTGCTGATCCAGGCACATTTGTTCTTTGGGAAGCCGGGAAACTGAAGAAAATGAAACCTTCAGCATTAGACAGAAGGAGCAGTTTGAGTGAGTAGCTCCCTGTGGCAGAAGATCATGTGAATGCAGATGCTGCTCTTAGCACTGAGGCATATCATGCCTGTCTATCATTCTGCTCACATAATTGTTTTGAAAGTTTAATAATATGAAAGCCTTATTAACACAACTGTGTTTCAGTCAGATGCAATATTTATCCGTGGGGGATTACCACATCTTTTGTTTGCTTGTGTTTTATACTTTAATATCTACTTTTTTTCCAGTGTGAGAAGGTTTGCTAAATGGAGAACTTCTATTTAGAAGTATAACTTAGCTATGAAAGGTGAGTTAAGGTGGTGGAAAAGCACTGGCAACAAAAGTAGTCAACAGAGTGTAATCTAGTCTTTTTCTGCATTATTCTATTTTTGTGTGTTGTCTTAATTTGATCTCTGAATATCTGTATCCTTCTGCTTGTCTGTTTGCAGTGTAAACATCTGGATGTGTGTATCATCATTGCAGTGGATTATCTGAGACAGTTAGGTCTCAGACGAGATCACCTGGTAGAATGCAAATGATTGTTACTAACAGCGATCTTAGAACGTTGCACAAACAGTAGAAGTGTGTTTTGCAGCCCTGTTATGAGACACAGTGGAGAATTACTTGTTTTCCTAGTTATTAAATCAACAGACAGCTAACTGCCTTGCCTGAGATGACAGGAGGGCTGTGGATTATGTGAAGGAACTAAGCAGCAGCTAGACCTCCAGACTCCCAAGTCTGTGCAACCCCAGATACTCCCTCCAGCCACTTCAACCCAAAAACTGAGATATCGGAACGTGTAAGCCGTCTCAAGAACGGAGAGTGCAATCGTTGCTGTGGGTGTGATACTGTTGGTTGCTTTTTTACCTTCAGCTGCTGCTGCATGGCTATTCTTGGCCTTAAAATTGAGCAATAGCTTTGCTGTTTGCTCTGAACCCAAGCTCCAGCTGAGTCAAGCGCAGCTTTGAAGGTTTTCATGAGGGTAAGCTGAGGGCACTGACTATAAGAAGACCTTTCTTTCCTCACTAAAAACCTAGGCATCAACTTTGAATACAGATAATGAGAGGTAACTTGAAGGATGACACTGAGACACTGAGTCTTTGAAACAGCTTTCTGTGCCAAGCCTGCCACTTCTCAATTATTCTGTTTCTACTTCTTTGTGAGTTGCAGCCAGTGGAGAGATGCCATGTTGAAGTCTCTGAAGCCCGACCTTCCACGTCACCTTTAATTGAAGGTTGGACCGGGGTCAGATTCAGCCAGAGCATAACTACAGACAATCACTAGTTTTCTGTAATGCCACTGCTTCCCCAGAATTGAAGCTTCTGTTACACACACATTTCTCCTACCTTCTCTGATTTCTAGCCCTCAGGATTTCAGAAAACAATTCAGTGTGGTGCTGAGTTGAGTTTTCAGCAATCTTAGAAAAATAGTTCTGTCAAACAACAGATATCTTTCTTCTCAGTGGGCAGCATTTTTGAACTGAACAAACAAGGTCACTTCATTTTAATTGGAATATCATTGAGGATTTGGACAGAAGTGCCTTCGCAGTTTCCCAGTCTGCATAGTGGCAAATCAGCTTTGAGCAGTGACAGTTTTAAAGCCGGTTGGAAAATCTTTAATGGGAAAATTGGTACAGTGGTACCAGTTGTGCTTCTTAGAGAAACGTGTATTGTTAATGATTAGGTTACATGGTTACAGGCTTGTCAAGCATTTGCAGCAAAGCCAGAGAAAAATCACACCATGCAGGCAAAACAGAATAATAAATGAATCATGTTTTTGAGGCTACTTGCTCTAAAACACGACAGTAGCTGCTAATGAAGTTTACTGATGAGACAAAATTGGAAAGCAATATCAAAACACAGGAAGACTGAAACATTGTAAAGAAGTACCACATAACCTCGAAGACTGGAGGAATAGAAATAAAGTGCTGTTTGGTGTTATTCCATGTAGTGGACTAAGAAAAAATATTGGTTAGAGGAGTTTTGAAAGGGTAGAGAGAAACCATTTGGGTATGGTTGCCAGCAGCTTGTGTTCAGGAGACCAGCAGTTAAGCGTGTCCCAAATGAAGACAAACCAAGTGTTCTATCTCTAGTTGCTGTTTTGAAGAACATGGAGGAAGCTAATGCTCAGCAGAACTCTGCCATGCAAGCAGATCACCAACAAAAACCAAACAAGTTTATTTGAAGCTTGGATTCCCTTGCTTGTAGTAGCAGAGAACACGAACGCGTGATTCAAGGCTTCTTTTCCCACTGTATTATCAGTTATTTTCTCAGAATCATAGTTAAAATATTTGCAGGCTCATTTGCTGTGAGTAATACTTTTCTCTGCTGAAATGTAACAACCTCCAAGAAATCTGAGAACAATTTTAAAGTGAAATTACCAGTTAGGTCAGTTCTCTAGGTTGTGCCAGTACAACCCTGCCTGATTTGCTAAGCAATAAATATAAAGGGAAAGGCTGAATCTTAATGAGGCTACTATGGATGATTTCAACCAGAAGATTTCATCCCCCTGTACTCAGCACTGGTGAGGCTTCACCTTGAGTATTGTGTTCAGTTTTGGGCCCCTCACTACAAGACATTGAGGGCCTGGAACGTGTCCAGAGAAGGGCAAAGAAACTGGTGAGGAGTCTGGAGCACAAGTCTTATGAGGAACGGCTGAGGATTGTTCAGTCTGGAGAAGAGGAGGCTCAGAGGAGACCTCATTGCTCTCTATAACTACCTGAAGGGAGGTTGTGATGAGGAGGAGTTTGGCTTCTTCTCCCAGGCAACGAGCAGCACACGGGGCAATGGCCGCAAGTTGTACCAGAGGAGGTTTAGGTTGAACATAAGGAAGAACTTCTTCTCTCAGAGAGTGGTCAGGCACTGCAATGGCTGCCCAGGGAGGTGGTGGAGTCGCCGTCCCTGGCAGTGTTCAAGAGGCGTCTGGATGACGTGCTGTGTGATGTGGTTTCGTGTTGTGGTGGCAGTGGTGATGAGGAGACGGTTGGACTGGATGATCTTGCAGGTCGTTTCCAACCTTGTGATTCTATGATTCTATGATTTCTGAAGTGCAATGTCTGCTAGTCTGCCCTAGGCAGAATCTTCAGCCCAACTCCCCAAAGGTACAATGAGACTGGCTGAGGATATGGGAGAACTAGCTTTTGTATTGAGCAAAACTGAAATAAACTGAAATAACCTGCTGCAAAGGTTTCAGGGCTATGTATCCTTTCAAAGAGTTGACTCCCCTCCTGTTTGTAGGCTCCCTTTAGGTACTGTAAGGCTGCAGTGAGGTCACCCTGCAGCCTTCTCTTCTCCAGGCTGAACGAGCCCAGCTCCCTCAGCCTGTCTTCACAGGGGAGCTGCTCCAGCCCTCTGATCATCTTTGTGGCTCTCTTTGTGGTCATGTGGAAAAAAACCACAATTGTTCCTTTTGGGTGCTAAAGGATGCAGTGTATTCAAAACATATTAAATAAATGCATGGAGCCCATTGGGCAAGTTATTCAGCAAGCACCCGTGAAAAGGTAGTTCCCTCTCTTTGCGTTTACAAGCTAAGAGTATTCTAATGGACTTAATTCATGAGTCAGTGAACCATAACTTTGCAGCTTTCTTCAGAAATGTATCTGAAGTGATATCAAGGTGACAGCAGCTCATACAGACTTTGAAAGACCATCATTTGCAATGAAAACAATTGTCTTCCCTTAGCCAGTTGTAATGTGGCATCTGTTTGAAGCTACTTATCTAGTTTTAGTTAACAATGAAGTCTTTCAGTCAAATGCCTGTCTTAGATGACTCTTTCCTCCCTACTTTCTCCTTAAATTTCAAACAGAGCTGTTCATTTCTCTCCTAATATGAAAAGAGAATAGGTTGTTCTTAGCTTTAAAATACTGGCAGCAACTTATCCGAGATGCTTAGATGCCTTTATGCTTTTTCAGCCTGGCAAGAAGATAGACAATGAGTCAGGAATGTACCTCATGCCTGTGAAAGCCGACCCAAATATGGCCAAGTCTTACGACTGAAAAAGAATCTTGCTTCTTTTCTTCCAGGGAGATGTACTGAACTTCAACAGTAAAATAAAACGACGGGTGGGAGAGTGATGGAGACGGGGTGAGAAGGTAGTAGGAGGAAGGGGACATGAGCAGGAAACTGGGACTGGCCCTACGAAGGTGTTGGAATGGCTGTGGGGGAGTGGAGACATTTACCTAAATAGTGTGGTGTGTGTGGAGGTAAATGTATGGGACAAACAAAAAGGAGATGACAGCATGTATGGGAAGTGAGAAACTAAGACCAAGTAGGAGCGGTTCCCTCTGGGGCTGGAGATTTCAGTTCTGCTTCCACATTGTTACAACAGATTAAGAAATGCTGAAGTTCTGTTATGATGTAAAGAATAGAAAGCTGTAGAATAAATTAATGTTTTCTGTCTTCAGGTTTGGCCAACGTACAATGAAAAAGGCATTGGGATACGCATGAAAAAAGAGGAGGAAAAAGAATTTGAGCTGCTATTTCTATTAAGAATGGATTACTGAGGTACCTAAATTAACATTTTGTACATTCACCGTGACTAGATTTGTATTTCAAAAGGAGATTCACCTTGCTAAGGATTCAGATTACCTAAATTTGGTGCATAAAACCAAATGACACCTATCCCTTAAGCGAGTAATGTTGTTTTGTAAACTAAATGAAGCAGGGATCTGTGGAAAACCAGCACTAAATCACATAATTAAAATCCATTATAGGGTGTCTGCAAAGAGCACTAATTAAAGTGGTGCAGCTGACATTCACTTTGGCATTTCCTGGCTTTTGAATACTTAGATATGCAAATTTCATTAATGTTATTCTTACACATTTAATCAATGTTGTGTATGGTGCATATAGTGGTAGAATCTGGAACATCTGGGCAAGGACTGTAAGTCTGTGCAGTCACAGCGCTGAGTATCTGTCAAAATTCTACTATCTTTAGCTGAGCAAAGAAAGCTGGGATGTGTGATGGTTGTTTTCAGAACGCTGATAGCAGGAGGCAGCCCCTCACTTGTCCATGTCTGTGCTTTTCAGAACAGGAGATGTGTTATCTTTGGACTGTGCTGTGTTGTGACCTTAGGTCTCTAAACTTTGTAGTGATAAGGGTGGTTAGTAGTAATTTGTAATAGAAAACCTTCTGATCTCCTTAAGGCCAACCAATGCATGTCAGAACTCCCCAGCTGGATGTTATAGGCTGAGTGTTGCTAATGGACAGTGGAGATTGTCATTTTGTTTCATTAGAAATGCCTGTGGGTTTGGAGACATCCATTCTTCTTTCTTCTTCCCACAGAGCTCGAAGTGATTTGGGCATGCAGTAGTGACCGTGAACATTTCTGGCTTCTATGCATTTCTTAACGGTATTAGATAAGCTGCTTGGTTTTGTAACAGAAAACAGCTCAACTCATCTTCTTTGAAAACACTTGAGTGGCCAGCACTCGTCTCATCAGGCAGGCAGTCAAGGACGGTCTGGCTGTCTCATTCTTTGTGCTGCAGTCCCATCTGATTGAGCTGGGGGAACAGAGCTTTCTCAGGTCAGGGAGCTTGTCTGAGGAGCTCTATCCCTGTGGATGCCTGCCATCATTCTGCTGTAGCTGTCTTCAGGTCCCTGGGCGCAGCTCTTCAAAGTCAGTGCATTTCTTGGCAGCTCTGGCTCTGTCTTCTCTGAAGTGATTTGGTGTGGTTGGTACAGAGAGGCTGTGATGTCCACTTAGTTTAGTACCATATGCTAAAAGCCTGGATAAGAGATTGAGTTAAAAAATAAAAATAAAAAATAGTGGCAGGTTTGTGTGCTTGCGTGGAAGGCTGTAGAATGACACCTGGGCTGACTGGTCAAATACATATGTGAGCTTGAGACTGGCAGGGGAATTTGGCCCAGCATGCAGGCATGTGGATGAGCAGCAGGATCAAAACTTTCCATTCCAATTGAAATAACAAGACAAGTCATCTCACGCACTCTGACAAACTTTGGTTTCGTCAGCAGCCTTTTGATCAGTGGATAAGTACCAGTGATCACACTTTAAATGATTACTTTGTTACACAAGGGAGAAATGCTAGTGTTGATGTCTGAAATGACTTCCCCCTGCTGTAGGTGACACCACAGCAAATAAAAATAGTGGGCATAGCAAGCAAAAATGTTATCTTGCAACCAAAGTGCAAATAACACTTCAGTGCTGTGATTTCACTGTCATGTAATGCTTTATTTGGGACTACATTGCAAGCAAAGTGGAAAATTACTTCCAAGAAAACCTGAATCTCTGTGGAGTAGAAGTCTCAAACGTTCTATTTCTTGGATGCTCTGCAGAGCAAGCTGCAGTTTAGTGAGTAGGCCTCTCAGACCCACTGATCTGACCTTGATGGGAGTGAAAGGCTTAATGGCAAATCTGGGGACTTTAGAGTCAGGTGATGAGGCAAAAAGTAAAAGGAGGAAACCTAGATAATATCAGCACAAGGGTGTAGACTTATTTTACAAAGTAACTGATTTTTTACAGGAAGAATGGAGTCTTTCAGGCCTCCAGTGAAATGGTTGACACACTGCCAGAAAGAAAAGGGAGTCAGCTTTTAGTGAGGATGACATCAAGAATAGTGACAAAAACAAGTAGGTTCTAATTTCCCTACTTAGGATTTTTCATGACTGTCCCTGAGCCTATTAAAATGTTGTGTGCCACGTGTTAGCAAGGCCAAACTAACAGGTTGAAAAGGAGAGACACATGGAAAAAACACAAATAGCAAAGATGCTTAACCATATCCTGGGATTGCTAAGCTCCAGTCACCATGAATGTGAAGGCTCTGCATGGCTTTGGAGCTCTGTGTCATTTGGATGTGCAGAATTGACCGTGATTGAAGGAAGTGAATGAGTACTTGCACAGTGTTGCTGAAAGTGGTCTTTGACAAATGCAGACTGCACTGTCTACATAATGCCTACAAAAGGTCAGTTTTCTATTACAAGTAGAGCAAGACCTCATGAGCTTGTTTGGGAAATACTTTGTGGAGTGGATTGAAGAGAGAAATTTTTCTGTCAGGCTTGGATTTATCTATCGAATTTATATACCAATATAGATATCCTTTAAAAATGCCCTGGGAAGTAGACAGAAAATTCAGATTCCTTGTTTGGGCTGGGTGGTTCCCTTCCAGTTTTTAGATTGAGCTAAGCATCAGACAGGTAGGCTGAGACAGTCAGAAGGTTCAGTATGCTAAGAATCATAGAATCATTCAGATTGGAAAAGACCACTAAGATAACCTATTCCTGTTGACCCATCCCCACCATGCCAACTAACCATGCTCCTGAGGGCCACATCTACACAGTTCTTGAGCAACTCCAGGAACGATGACTCCATCACTTCCCTGAGCAGCCTGTGCCAATGAGAGAAGAAAATTTTGGCAGCAGTCTAAAGAAGTTTTCCAGACAAAACCAAGTTTTCATTTGACAGTGACTGACCAGCAAGGAGACTTGTTCTATAGCAGGAATCTGCTAGTAGCAAAGAAGTAATTTAAGCTGCATTTCTGATCACCCTGAGCATCTGTAAAATTGCAGTTAATGAAAAACAAGCCAAAACAAAACAAAACAAAAAAATCACCTGGAAGGCTAAAAGAAGGGAGAACAGATTGAAATAGAAAACTTCCCATGCAGTTTCTGGTGTTGCTTTCTGACCCAATTTATTTTCAAGCCCTTAGGTTTGTGCTTTTAAATTTATTTTGTCTTACTAAGTGGGCCTTACAACCCGTGATTGTGATCTCATAATATTACCTCACAGTCATAATATTACCTCACAGGGTTTGGGGAAGGAAAAAAAAGGAGAATGTATAGCCACTGGCAGTCTCTGATCTGAGCATCCTGTTTACTTTTTTTCATTTTTCCCCACAAATATTCTGTTCTGCATCTCCTTATTATGTATGAGAACTCTGCTGCAGGAAATTTACTTCCTGTAGTAGGGGTGAAGCACACACATTTCTTTTTTAGGCTAATGAAAGCCTAAGTGTTCTTACTAGCTGTTTGAATATAGTGGTGTGTACTCTGCAGTTGATTTTATTTCTGTTTCCACTAAAATGCATATGTACATGAGGTGCAGAACAAAATAGAGGTTAAGAGAAAAGGTGATGAACTCTTGATATCCATATCATAAATGACTATGGAGGGCAGAGGGCAGAAGATGATCAGGCCTCTGTAATTAGTGTTCTAGTGGTACCCATGAGCCATTCTGAGACTGACAAAACCTTCAGATGAAAGCCTTGCTCTTGGCCTGTACACACGTGTGCACTCTGGGCTTTCCTTCTGCACATTGGGCCGGATGCTGTCTCAGCAAGCACAAGCAGCTCTGGCTCCTGTATTGCTCTTATCTCTACTCAGGAGACTGGAGCAGGTGTTCCTTTGTCTGCATCCACTGAGGGCTCCTGCCCCAAGCACACCTGCCCTACAAAGGATGGAGCTGATTTGAACACACGCCCAACAAACACGGTTATGCATCAGGAAACAAGAAAATAACCCGGGGTGTGGAGCAGCATTGCATGTAAGCAGTCAGATTGCTTAGCCCAAAACTACTCAGCTCCCTTTCCCTGGGCTGTGCCTTAGCCCTTAGGCTACATTGTCTCAGGCTTTGTTTTGGCCTAATGGTCTCTAAATTTTTTATTACACTGTGGCAAAAACTCAGTAGACGTTTTCTCACCCCAATTTTCTTGGTAATATTTATTCACAATTCTGATTTTGTCTGAATTTCAGGTATCAGTGTGATGAGTGCTGCTGGGGCAGTTTAAGACATCATTATTTGCACTGCCTCTCTGAGCAGGGAACTGCCTCACAGGAGAGCTGTCAGAGTGTGTGCTGAGATCCTGCTTGACAACAAAGCCCAACTCGCAGATGGTCGATAACAATGTGTTTGAGTCAAGACATTGGATTGTGAAGAGGAGCAGCCAAAATGCAGGGACACATTTTCTCCTGCTGACTTTGCTAGAGGGATGGGAGCTTCAGCCCTAGGTGACAGCTAACAGCTGCAGAATGATCGCATCTTAAACTGAAGCAGCTGTTGCTAAGTGACTGAGCTAAATGTGGCATTTTAATTTTGCAAATTTCACAAATTAATTTGGTGTACAGGTTGTTATCACCTTAGCTATAAATATGTTTATTTTCTTTTTTTTTTCCATCTATTTGCATTTGAGACTGCCTAGCAATAACCGGGCAACAAAAATAGAATCCCCAACACTGTCTGCTTTCATTATTGTTTCCTAGCTGATCCTGTGATGTGATTTATATCTTGCCATCTGATTCCCTAATTGCAGTTTGCAACGATGAAGAAAACTGTACAATGCTTGAATTGCGAGCCTGTTTCTGTTAGAAGCACATGAAATACTTATTTGAAGACCAATCAGGAAGCATTCAAATCTTCCTTGGTGACGTGGGCTACTTTAGTTGTGTTGCTTGCTTCCTTCTGGATCTCAGACATCAGGAGTAAGATTAGCCTTGCATTGTGAAAGTGCTTACTCAACATTTCAGTGCAGAAGGAGTACTGCCGGATTTTGTGATCCCGCTTCTCTGCCAATGTCAAACAGGTTCATGCAGAACAAGCCTTGCATGCTGAAACCTGGTCAGTCTGAAACAGCGTGTTAGAACAAGAGCTTACAGTTGGGCATACTTTGCTTTGGGGATCAGCGGAGAGTTTGGAGACAGATACAGATACCTTGCAACTGGATATCCATGAGAATGAAAGAGCTGAACTGAAAGAGATTAAGTAGCTCTTTGTACATTCTTCCCTGTGAAGTGTAAAGAACTGAGGGCTTCATTGTTTTGTAACCACTTAAAAATTAAAGGGGAAGAACACTTGCTTTAACGGTCCTCTTGAATATGGTGTTCTTAGATGTGCTCTTCCCAGAAATCTAGGCATATGTGCTCAAAACAAAAAAACCCTCCTTGCTGAGATTGCACAACAGAACACTGTCCTTTGCTTAACCTGAACGTTTCCAATTCCCTGTGAGCAAGGAGCTTTCCCACACTTTCAAACACAATCCACATACATCAGCAGTTGGCTCACTTTCTGCACCAGCCCTTTGAAAATTATTTACCTTACTTCTCTGGGCCTTTTTTCTCTATGCAGCCAATTTGCATCGTACTGCCTGCATGGGAGAAGGCCACCACTAGCAGACTAAGATTTGGTGTCCTGTTTTCATGCAGGATTGCTGTCTCTTAACACAAAGCATTTGGACAGAGGCTGCCAGTCTGATGCAAACAGCAATATGCAGTGTGTCTGGTTTGGTCCCCCTCGTAGTTCACCAGCCTGCTGACGATTAGATCTCTGTATGCCTATGCTGAGCCAAGTCTGTCCTATTAGATTTGTATTTCCTATTGCAAATGCAGTCTAAAGGAATGATCTACTCTGAGAAGAGAGCTGGGAGACAGGAACTCCTGAATTCAAGAAGCATAATTTCAGTCATTTTTTTGCTGCACAGCCTCAGGCTACTGGTTGAGTGAGCTCTTATCTCATTTTCCCCATCTGTAATACTGCTCAAAGGGTGCTTTGGTGATTAATTTATGCTGATGAATTTAATTACTTGGTAAGAATTGAATACTTTGATAAGAATTGCAACAGATCCCAGAAAATGTGGCAAAAAGAGAAGCAGAATAGCCAGCTTAAAACTGCTGATTAACAAACCCAGACGAGATGCTGAGACTCAGGGCAAGAAACCTCGGTGCAGAAAGTGGTGCAATTACAGTGGTGCATTTTGTCTAAAATAGAGATCCTAGTTGAAATTATTCTTCCCCAACCGGTGCAATGTGATGTTTCTCTGATTTCAGAGAGCGTTTGGCAGTAAAGTAAGACTGAAATCTCAGTTTTGGGTTGTGGTGCCCTGTGAAAAGGCTCACCTGGTGCTATGATGTTATTTTGCAAGTCCTGCAGGTAGGAATGGGAACTTTCCTATGTGAAGACAGACAAAACTTACACAACTTGCACTTCCCTCACTTAAGACAACATATCTGCTCCATATTTTATATCTACAACATCATGCAATACAGTCAATTTATGAAGTTTTCCTGGGTCCTGCAGCCCAATCTGCAACTCATCAGTGGTTTGGAGAGCATTGAGATGTACATCATACCAAAGGAATTCTGCAGGGCCAGCTCTCTTGGCAGGCTCAATGTGATCTGTATCTCCGGAGTAACTTTGGTGTTAGTGTGACCAACCAGTATAATTGAATTACCAGCATCACTGTACCCAGCCAAACTGTCCCTGAGCTTTTGCAGCTCCCTCTGTTGGATTAACCATGGAAGCAGCTCTCTAACTGGCAAAATGAGCATTCCAGCTCAGCATTTTTGGTGAGCCAATTTTACTACACACCTATACAAATTACACTGCTGAAGACCTTTACTTTGTACTTTCAATGCACTGTTGTTCAAAGCTGGCAGGAAATGTTTCAGAACTCTGTATTTTTTTTTCTAAACATTTCAGGCAGCTGCTCTATAATCTTTGTGTTATGATTCACTTAATTCATCTCGGACATGATGCAAATAGGTAGGAATGGAGAACGTTACTTCCATATTTTCACAGCTTCCTTGTGAAGCAGCAGCACGGATCACCCAGTGACTCCGTCTGTCAATGCTCTGCAGTTTTTGGTTGCTATCCATGTAACCCAGTGAGACAGAATCAGAGATAAGGAAAGAAACAGGGGAAGGTTTTCCTCTGCAGTTCGTTCTCCAGAGCTTTGTTCAGTCCAGTTTTAAATGGCTCAAGCTACTGAAGTGATTCAAGCTCTGACATTTTGGCAGGGTGTGAAACAGTGTCTGGCAGAGGTGCTGTGACTGAAGGGCTGCTTTTGTTCTCTCTGAAATGTGTGGCAAACATCTCTCTAGCTTCAATCAGGACAGGATTGGGTCTTGGGAGTCATGCAGTGTGAATAAGCTCAGCAAAAGCAGCAAAAGAATTTAACTGTTACACCATTACATTATATAAAGCCCTCCAGGCTGGCTGTCCTCTATTTATTTGAGTGTCCTCATATGTAGTGAAAGCAAGAAAAATGAGCTGATTTTGTTAGATTTTGAGTAATGAAATAGCCCTAGATTAGTGGTCCCTGTCTGATGTCTCATTCAAACCACTGCATGCATTGGACAGCTTTTCTTTTTAGACACTGAAGTGGAATCTCTCCAGAGATATACTTTAAAAAAATCAATACAGAGGGAAAAATAATTGATTTTTAAAATTATTTTTATTATTATTTCCTTTCTAAGACAGCCCCTTACATTTGGGCAGTCCCAAATGAAAGGTGAATTTATTGCAGTCTGATTCACTGCTCTCTTTCAGAGTCAGTTCCCTTGTTGCCTTGATGTTGCAGCTTTCTTTTCTATTTCTCCCTAATTATGAGTAAAAAGAGATTTAATATACATAGGTGGATTAATTTCACTTTCAGCATTGTTACTGTGGATTTCTCCCTGGCTCAGCAGGAATTGTTGATTTCCAGTTACCTGTAAATCCACTGTGTTTTTTCCAGATGTTCACAGACAAGGATTTCTTGCACCACTGGACTGTAGTAAAGTAGACAGAATAAGATGGACAGAAAATTACAAGAAAGGAAAGCGATTCTGAGTGTGTGTTGTAAAACCATTCCAGCTCTGTATGCTGGATCCTGGAAGGAAAACCTGTCACAGATTTGACTGCTGGAAGCAGTGTTCTGTGCTGCAGCAAATTTACCCATTTTTGAGTCTCGCTTTTTGTCCCCCAGGCCAGGAAAGTCCAGATCTGAGAGCCAGGCCATGCTGTGGGCAGGGCAGCTGGGAAAGAGACAGCAACCACAGCACACCCTGTGATTTCTGCAGGTATGGTATCTTCCCAGTCTAAAGGCATGCTGTCATGTGCTTAGGATGTTTGTCTGCTTTCACCATTCTACTTTCCATGCTTCCTGTGCTGTCAGCAAGTTCCTTCATGCTCCAAAGACCCAAGTGAATGAGCAGTATTTACGAGCTTCCCTTCTTCCCCCCCATCCCACTTCTGCCTACCTCGCAGTGGAGCCCCTCTAACTCTCCTCCAGTGCCTCATTCCTTGTTTGCAGCTCTGCCCAGATGCATAGAATTTACAAATCAGATTTGCTCTTGTGATTTCTAGTTAAGATGGAGCACTGAGGGACTCACTAAGGGACTGTCTAGACTACATGCACATACCAAGGGTTGGCTGGGGGGAATCAGGAAAGAGAAAGACTTTTGAAAATGAGGTGAATGATGAAATGAATGATACAGGCTTGGAGGATGGAGGGGAGGACCAAGTAGGAGTAGATGTTTTTAAGTGGCTGAGGAAGAATAGAGGCAGAGATAGGCTTTTTTGACTGCAGAGAGAAGCTCTGATATTGGATAAAGCTGAGAGATTGAAAGAAAGGACATTCTGAACATCATGGTACTTTTGGAACAGGCTGATGCTGTTTGTAATATCTGAAGGCAGGTTTTCAAGTTACAACATTTATTTTCCTCAATGTAGGCTTAGCATGTAAATGGTCAGATTCTGGTGTGAATTAGCATAGCTCCAGTGACTGACCCAGCGTGGTCAAAACATATGAGGAGTTGGGGGAAGAAAGCTTAGACATTTAAATTTGTTTTCTACAACAGGATTACCAATGGCTGGAGATGAGTTTTCAAGAAATGAAGCTCTTCAGATCACTGAGAAAACAAAGTCCAAGTCAAAACCAGGAACCAGTACACCTCCACAGTGCAGGACAAATCTGCCCATCTCTTTATGCTTGAATTAGCAGCTTGCCTCAAAACTGGGATGTAAGTACTTAGATTCAGCTGTTAGCTAATGAATCAAAGACTGAGCTCATTGTTAAGCCTTTACCCATCTGTATTTTATGACTTCCAGAGCTACATAAGGCTTCCAGAACCAAATAGCCACTTGTGGCTTCCCTAGTATTCATCCTTACTTGCTGACTGCTCACCAAGGCACTGAGTGCTCTTAGCTGTCACTATGCAATTTCCTGGTTAAAACAGATCTGGAATGTAAAAGTATTCATCACCAGAGGTTTTGCTGGATTCCAGGGCTTCAGTGAAGCAGTAAGTGATGATTTAACATTGGAATGACACAAAGATTCCTCTGGGTTTTTAACCAGCTACAGCATAGCTCAACAAACAAGAAAACCCTTAAGGAGAACCTGAATGATTTGGGATGTAAGTGATAAAGAGCACACTAGGTTATAATTACTGTTACACCTGAACCACACAGACCATGAATCTTTACCATAGTCCTCTCAATACAGAAATGAAGGCCCAAGTGACACGTGGGAACATCTCTGGTATGATGCTCTAGTCTTTTATCCAGAATGAAGAAACTGGAGATAGCCAAATACTGAGAAACGGTACTGCAGAAACTGCAAGTGCCTAAGCTGCATTTTCAAGTTGGTAAAACTGCAGACAGCTGTAAGATCCATTGTAATTCAGAGCCAGGTTTGCCAAAAGGGATCTTATCTCTGCATTTGACCTCACTCTAGGCAGCAAAATCTCAGCAAATCAAAGTTGGAATTCGAACTGGCATAAGCTGACCATTTTCTGACATTGGAACACTCTAAAAGGTATGGAGAAAACTAAAGATTGCTGCTCCTGTGCATGCATGAATGCTTTTGCATTCATTAGAAATAGGCATTTGCTCTTGAGCATCATAGTTTTGCACCAAGAAACACAATTTTTGCTGCTTTAATCTATTATTTTATCTCAACAAAGTGGAATGAAAAGGAGATGGTTCTGATTTTGAAGTGTTTTGTGCATGTTTTGCAGAGCTGTATAAGTTTATATGATACATAGAGCAGTGATGAATCATAGTCCACTTTCTTCATCACTTCACACCACTGTAAAAGCATTATTTTGCTGGATTTAATTCTGATTTACTGGTTGAGAGACCTCGAGATGGTAGAATGCTGACCTACTGTCACCTTCAGTTTTGCTTGCTATTACTTGCAACTTTTCAATCTTGTTAGCTAGGTCTTTGGCTGAGGAGCTTCCCTTCCCTTCCCTTCCCTTCCCTTCCCTTCCCTTCCCTTCCCTTCCCTTCCCTTCCCTTCCTTTTACCAATCATTGCCTGACTGTTAAGTCTTAGAGATTTGTCATTAAGTTTCTCTCTATTTGTGACAATTCTTCAAGATATTCATGATCTCTGATTCCTTGTAGGCTGAGGCCAACTTGTCTGTAATTGCTCAAGTAGGTTAAAGGAGTGGACAGATGATTGCAGGTGATTAAATCAGTTCACCACAGCAAGTTACTGTCCCTCAGTCCTGTGACTTCACATGCCCCTCCATTCCCTGTGCATCATTTCAATCAAGGCCTGGGGATTTGATCTGCCTGAAAATCTTACTGGAAACTTTAGGTGGAGAAGTTTGCTGATCCCTCCCAGGTGCACACATCGCCACGCTGACACAATGCAGGGAGCATAGGAGCAAAGATGCACAGCATGGTATGAGCCATCAATGCTGGTCTCGCTGAGAATAAACTTCTTAGAGAATAAACTGTCAGGCTGTGCCCCACGACATCTGGGCTCCTCTCTCTGCTCTACATCTAAAGTATAAAAAAAATGAACAGTGTTGGTTTTTGAGGCTGGGACTGGTCTCCCACAGAACCCTTTTTCACCCATATTGAAAATGGGAGACCCTTTTGAGATGTAAAAAAAACCTTTTTGCCCATATTGAAAATGGGCCATCTGAGTTTATCCCAAGTACAAGGCAAGATGAATCATTTCTATGAAATTCCCCCTGAGCACTTTCTCCGCTCTGAGGACTTACAAGGCAAATAAATGATCTGCATTTCATTCATTCCTCTCTCAAGTACAAATTCTGGTTTGCAGCAGTAGCTCCCTGTTCCATTCTGCCACTGTGCATGGACATCTCAAACAGCCCTTCTGCCAAATGTTTGGGAATCCTCTCTGAAACACGGTAGAGAAAGAAGTTTTGAGATCTGGATACAGATATAAAAGCAGCCATAGCAGGGGCTATTAGAGCAATCCACGGGCTGATTTTGGGCCAGGCCTTAGGCCAGCCACTGCCAGTAACCTGCTATCACCATTCTCCATTTCACTGCCAGGTGGTTGGATAAATGTGTTTGGTTAGATATCTTGCAGAGAGGACATGCTTAGGAATACTTTGCACCAATCTCCTGCCTGCCTTCAAAACTTGTTCTCAAAATTATCAGGGTGCATCCTTGCTTCTTAAGAGGCTTTCTGATATAGAGTACAGGAAGAGTCACTCTTCAGGACTCGGTTTGGGATGGAAAAGGAGCTGTGCTCATTTCTTCCTTCAGCTCTGTGTGCTTCCTTTGCAGTATGGAATTTGAGCTCAGCTGTGCAGTTTGCCTCACAGCAGTGATCATGTAGGAATGACTCCCATGTACCTGGGGGTTCCCGTATCAAGGGGGAAGTAATTTTAAGCGTGATTCTAAGCAGATTGAAATCAGCTCTGCTGCACTCCAACCTTCCCTGCCACTCCTTGTGTTCTCACTTCCTCTATTTGTGTGTTTCAGTCGGATTCATTTATTGCTGCTGAAGTTCCCGAACAAACTTATCAGAGGAACTGATAAACGTTGATACAGGAGGGAAGGGCAAGGCTGTGCTGCTGTATACGGGCATGCTGTGCCAGTGTAAGAGCAGGTCTGATGCGGTGACCTGCATTATTTCCCTCCCATGTATCTACCTGCTCCACTTAGTGTGTGACATCTCTATGTCTAGACGGCCTCACCGTTTCCTGTTCCCGAATGCCTGTGATCAAGTCCCATCTCTTCTCCTCTCCCAGCAGAGCATAAGCGTGGATCTGAACACTCCTGCTAACTGTGGGGACAAGTTTCCTGTGAGCTTTACATCGTGGGGAGAGCAAACCCCAATCTCCTGCAGTATGAGGTAACATCCCTGCGATACGCACATCCTGCTGTGAAGCACAGCAGCAGAGCAGAGCCCGTTTCCCTTCTTTCCTTTTTTGGATCTGCGTGCACACGGTCCCTAATGGAGCCGGTTCTGAGGATACCAAGAACAGAAACCAAGTCACTGCAGCGCCTCACGACTACCGGCGATCCCCTTCCTCGTCGTTATCACCGTAATCGCGAACCATCCTTGACGCCCCTCACCAACAGCAGCTCCAGGTACCGGACACCGAACGATCAGCCCATCTCAAAGCTCCAACACAACCCACCGACCGCAAACTTCTCCCCCAGCTCTGGGCTGCCCACCTTGGTGGAGGGGGCGGACCCTTGGACCCCTCCGGAGCCAATGGCAGCGGGGAGGACGCGGGGAGGCGGCGCCGGGCGGCCGCGGGGAGCGGGCAGGGCAGAGAGCGGGCGGCACCTTGCAGCGGGCGGAAGGTGAGTGCTGCCGGGCCGGGGATTTCCTCCCCGTTTTTTTTCTTTTTCTTTTTTTTTGCAACTGGAAAGTTTGCAAAGAGGTTGAGCGGTTGGGTTCTTATTGTTCTTCTCTCTCTCTCTCTTTTTTTTTTTTCTTCTTCTTCTTCCCCTTTCCATTCAATTTAAGAAAGGGGGTGGGGGTGAGATTGCCTCCCTCCTGCTTTCCCAGCTCATTCATTTAACAAAGGGAGTTGTATCCAGCCTCGGGCTGTGCGATCGAGAGCCTCTTGCGGTCTCGGGGTAGAGGTTGGAGGGGGGGAAATCGGGGCTCAGCCCGCGCCTGGTGCTGGCTGTGGCTGGAGGGGCTCCGGGGGCCGTGGGATGTGGGGGGGGAGAGAACACAAAGAGTTGAAGAGCCGACCCCGTGCTGAGTGATGCAGCCTCGGGCTTTGTGTGTGGCTCTATGGTAGGGATGCAGACGTGGGAGCGTGTTTCTCCTTAGCCCCCTCCGTTCCGTGTGTGAGATCTGTTGTTATTCAAGATCTTAACGGCAAAGCTGAACTTAGGATCGTGGCACGGCTTGGATTGGAAGGGATCTCTCGAGGTCTCCGATCCAGCCCCCCCCCTCCGGCTCGGATAAGGGAGGGAACGGCAGCGAGGAGACCTTGCGAGTTGGGTGGCACCTCTGGGTGCTCCTCGAAGCCCCAAGGAGAGGCAGCACCGCAGGGCGAAGGGCAGCAACTCTCGTCCTTTCCTCAGTGCATGGAAACCCGCAGCTCTCCCATGCTTGCAATCCTTGCTTTTGCTGCTTTTGTTATCCAAAGGGCTTAAAATCCACGATTAGTGGGGAGAGCTGGCTCCATCCGTGTGTGTGTCACGGTGCATCTGCTTCTGCTGGGCATTGCTTGATCCTTACTCAGACATTACCTCCAGCAGCAAGATTTTTAAATAAATAGATGTCAAGACCTCTGCTTGTTACCAGCTGAAAGGCATGTACTTTAGGTGGTGATTAAGTACACTGTGTGCGTATGTAAGAACAACTGTAGAAGCTGTTTAGTTCTTGCCAAGCTTTTTAAAGTGAAAGCAGACATTGTAGCTGGTGAAATGGCTGTGCTGGGCACGGGAGGGAGACTGTTTGTTCTCCTTGCTTGCAATTACTCTTTGTACAGTGACTCACGGATGCCTTTCACTGAACCGCCTCCCTGCTTTCCTTACCTGGAGTTTCCTGGTGTTGCCTGGTGCAGCAGCGAGCATCACCCTATCTGCTGCTCTAACAGCCTTCCCGTTGTTTGGGTGCTTTTGTCTTGCTCAAAGCTTTTTAGGATAAGGCAGGAAAAACTCATCTGTGTGGAGCAGCTCATGTGTGTGTCCACTGGGTGGTTAGGCATTACTTTTCCCTCTGTGTTTTCACTGGGTTAGGCAGAAAAGGGCTGTAAGAAAGAAGGGGACACTCTGTAACAGAGGATGATGTGAGAGAACAAGGGGAAATGGCTCCAAACTAAAAGAGGGGAGGTTTAGATTGGATGTAAGGAAAAAGTTTTTTACGTTAAGGATGGTGAGGCACTGGCACAGGTTGCCCAGAGAGGTGGTGGGTGCCCCATCCCTGGATGCAGTCACGGTCAGGCTGGATGAGGCTCTGAGCACCTGATGGAGCTGTGGTGTCCCTGTTCATTGCAGCACAGTTGGATCAGATGGTCTTTAGAGGTCCCTCCCAACTCAAATGATTCTATGATTTTGTGATAAAATACACTGCTTGTCTATTGCTTTTCTGACTGCTTTGATTGCACTGGAAATACAAACTTATTGTTTTGCCCCAGAGATCTGTTGAATTATTGCTGATTCCTGTGGATTCTTTCCCAGATCTGTGCAGAGCTTTCCTCAGCTTTGACTGCAAGTGCATGAATTACACCTGGTTTCTTAAGCAGTTTTGTTTTTGTTTAACTGAAGATATCAGTGAGCTTCAGTGTGGCTTCTTTCTCTGTTTTGCACCTTCATAGGTGTGGGCAGTTTTGTTATTTTGTAACCATGGCTGTGATGGCCCAGTTCCCTTACATTCTTATGAGCATATTGAAACACCTATAAAAGTAGACTTTTCTGGTTAGCAAAACAGAAATGATGCTGAGTTCCACCCTTCGAGTGATCTGGGTTTACAGTTCATCCTGTCAACAGCACGTGATAACAGAAGTAAATAGACTTCGTAAAGGGTCTGAAAGCAACCATGCTTTGTGAGGAAGTATAAGAAAATAGACTGAGACCAAGCATCTGTAAACAAAAGCCGTATTTCTTTAAGTCTTGCATTGTTAGACCTTTGACACATGCACGAATCTCTCTTGTTTTTTACCTCTTTGGGAAGGGGAAAGAATACTGCGTGTCAGAAATGTACTGTGCCTTTTTCTGTGCTTGCCCAGGAGCTTTGCTTGCGTGTTCAAACTCTGTGTGGAATTGGGAAGAATGTAGAAGTGTTCTGCTTGATGGCAAGGGCTTGTGCTTATGGAGAAAATTATCTAGTGTGTTGCATTTCATATGGACTTGCACAGCTCTCACCTGGGGGGAGGTGCTTTGAAGCCCCATTCCCAGTGGGAGCAGAACCAGGGCTGGCAGCAGATGCTCAGTGATGCAGCGCGTAAGGCACAGCGATCAATTCTTCCCTCCTGAGCAAGAGGCATGTGATGCTCTTTAGGAATAGGTAGCTTGAAACACACCAACACTATTTATGCTAACCGGGATTTACTCATTAGAAAGAAAAAGGCTCTTAGAGGACATGCTAAGTATTATAATTTATCATCATTTGGGAGACAGTGGAGTCGCCGTCCCTGGAGGTGTTCAAGAAACGTGTAGATGTGGCACTGAGGACATGGTTTAATGGCTGGTGGTGATGGGTTGGCTGCTGGACTTGGTGATCTTAGTTGTCTTTTCCAGTCATCATGATTCTACGATGCCTCGGTAGGTGTTTTAAAATAGGTCAGTGAGTTGCACTCTGAAAATGCAGATTGCTCTTTCTGCTCATGCTGGTCCCCTGGATCTCACTGTTACTGCGTTGTACGTGGAGCAGAGAGCTGAGAGTATTGCTTCCTCATCTCGATTTGGGGATCCAAGCAGCTGTGCTAACAAATGCACTGGTATTCTTGCATAGCTTTCTCTAGCTCCTTTCATTTTAGCAATTGTTTGCTGGGGTGGTGCAAGAGGAAGCAAAAAAGCTATCTGATGAAGTGCGTTTCCAGGGGAATTCAAAGAAACAGTGGAAGTATTTGGGTCTTGTTTATGTACCAATGTACTTCTCGTAAGTTACTGAAGCTCTGGAGTAGCTGTTTAAGCTGGCAATCCACGTGTTCTGTTCTTCCCATCGTACAGCAAACGATGGCCTTCCTGTGTCTCTTACATCTTGTCTGAGACACAGGTTAAACAGCAACTGTCCTTCCGTGGTTTCCTTCCTTCTCACAATCTGTGCTCTTTGGACTTGCTACACAGCCAGCTTATTTCGCTCTTACACTGATATAACTCCCTTAAAAATCACTGTTTTTCCTACTTCTCTTCTAGAATTACTGAAGTCAGGTGGTGGTAAGTGAGGCATCCTTTTGTCAAGGAGGAGAAATTGCTGATGGAACAGAGGAAAGGTTGTATTTTGGGTAAAACAGACCAAAGGAGAAGATTGCACAAGTAGTAATCAAGTGTTCTTTCAGAAAGGAAAGAATTTCTCCCATAATAACACTTTGTGATCCCAGTTAAGGTATAGGAAGCGTGGCATGTGATGTGTGTGTGTGTGTATATACATATATATATACTGAAGTTCATGATGTAGCTACTAAAATCTTCTTGATCTTGGCCTTCAACTACGAGGCTAACAAATCAAGAGGCAGGTATGCATTGTGTGGGGTATAAAACCTTGTTTCATCCTCTGTTCTCTTCTTTATAAAGTTCATCCGTACATGTAATCTGAAGTGAAAATGGAGTATAAAAATAACAAGTGTTCATATTTGTGTTTTTAGAGCAGGGAGTGTCATTCCAGGTTCACGTGAAGCATTGTCTCCTGCCTGATGTGTGTAGTGCCTTTCCACAGTTTACAGGTGAGGTAGAATCATGGCTCTTGGTGACTTTACAGATGGCAGCAGAGAGAAGAAAAATCAAATAGAATCATAGAGTCAAGGAAAATCAAGAATCAAGGCCAGGTTGGATGGGGCTCTGGGCAGCCTGGTTTAGCATTAAACATGGAGGTTGGCGGCCCTGCATGCGGCAGAGGGGTTGGAGATTCATGGTCCTTGAGGTCCCTTCCAACCCTGGCCATTCTGTGATTCTGAGTCACAGGCTGTCCTGAGTTGGAAGGGATCCATAAGGATCATCAGGTCCAACTCCTGGATAGAAAAATTTAAGATACAGTCTGGCATCCAGAGTTGTAACAGCACCACTCTGGGACTTGGAGTTACTTTCTGGAAGTGTGAGTAGGGTTTGAACTGTTGGTTCTCTTAATGTCTGTAAGTGGCACAAGGATATTTGGTATGACAGCTCTCTTACAAGATAGAGCCTGTTTCTTAGGGCTTGGATTCTATTCATGAAGCAGGAGCTGGAGTGAGAAGCGTATTTCATTGGAACTGGTGTCTTACTGAACGTGGTTTTTCTCCTCGTTTGTATGCAGAAAGCTTTGTATGATGTGAAATATCTTATTGGTTCTTTAGCATAACGAATTTCCAGTATAAATTATTTTCTATACTTGCAGATTACCAAATGCATGTTCTCAAAATATGAGTGCCTTGGCCACTTAGCCCAAACTCCTTGTCGAGAGAGAAGAAAAGTAATTCCTTTTGAATTTATTTTTCCCAGCTAGCTGTAAATGAACATGCAGTTTCACCAGCAAGCTGAATTCAAAGGCTTTGTGCCAGAATGAATCTATCCTTTGCCTTTAGGAGGTATTTCAAGAATGTCTTATTTCAGTCTTGC